TATAGAATTGGCGCAACACTAGATTATTGGTATAAACGTCACATCTCTAACTGACAGCTGTCAATGTCATAAGAAGGATGGATATTCGCGCGCATTCCTGGAGAGTTGTCTAGTGGAGTGGTTTAATTAATATTGCTAAGTACAATTATATCAATTTTCTAAAACTATGTATCCCTCGGGAACCTGTCATTTTTCGGGGATGACCGTATCCCACGTGTTATTCCAGAATCTATATCTGTACCAAATTTCAACAAACATACATCCATCTCAACTTTCGCATTTTTAAGTAAAATTGGAGGTGAAAATCACGGGAAAAGCTAGTTAATTAGTAATAACCTTAGTGGCGGCTCTGCGGGCGCCGGCGCGCTCGCGGGGCGCGGGGGGCTCCACCATCTCCACGTCGGAGTCCGACTGCTCGCCGCAGCTGCTGCCGCTGAACGCGGGCTTCTTCTACAACAAACAAAACATATTACAGTGGAAATTTATTTAAACTTCTAATTGATTAAATATCTGAATATTGGGCATTCTAAACATTTGAAATAACTATAAGATTTCTTTATTGGTATCTCTAATTCACAAACTTCAAGATTTCCACCATCTGTAAATAAGGGTTTTTTTTTTAATCTACAGGTACCAATTAATCTAAACACTCATTATCTTAATAATAAACTTCTTGCTTGATTAAATGTACAAAAAGACATTTTGAGACAGTAATGTGCCTGGTCCAGAAGAGGAACGAAAAAATCGACTAAAAGTGAGATTAGATATAGTTAAAATTTACTTGAAAATCAACAATATTTGCCTCTAATTATACCTTTATCAGACTTTGGTAGGTGTTCTACTTTTATACTAAAAAAAAATTCCAAGTTACTAATTACATATAAAATTAAATGTCTTGTAATAAAAAAATCCAAGTCTTGTGATAAAAAAAATACCTTTTTAGGTTCCTTCTTGAACGTGAGTTTAGTCTGCTTGAGTCCATCTGCTTTCTCCGCCTTCTCTTTCTCTGGTTTCTCTTTCTTTACTCTTCCCTTTGGCTTCTTTTCTCCACTCGCAGGAGGAGTCACTCCCGTGGGATCGTCCTGAGTATTACATAAACATTATATAAATAAAAACATCTGTACGCGCACGAATGCTCTTACAAAAACGTGCCAAAATATCCTTTGTTTTCATTAAATTTTCACGTCAAAAGCTATAATAATTTTTAACGTAAAATAAATTGAACTATAAATTCGAAACAAGATTTACTTTTACTTATCACTGCATTATGTTTGCTTTTGATAAGCACATCTATACTATTACAAAAAAGCGTAAACACACACATCTTTGTTGCCTAAGATGTCAGCGATTACAGCATATTTTTGAATAATTTTTTGTTTAATATAAATCCCTACACTTACGTCAGGCTTTAGGCTATATATTTTCACGCCATTAGACTTAGGGGGTAAATATTTTGGCTAAAAACCCTAATCTGGGAAAGAGACCATAAGTTGTTATCAACATCAAAAAATCAAGGTTGCCATGGTTTGTCATCATGTCATGTCATTTTGACATTTGCAATTGATAATTTGACATATTTAATCAATAAAATGATATTTTTATAATTTCAAGCGGATAAAGTCGCATGGGAACAGCTAGTTCGAAATAAAATAAAACCTTATTTCAATTACCAATAGTTCAATTTCAATTATGCACAAATATCACAATAAATATAATAAAACCAAGCTACGAGATTTAAGGGCGGTCTAATTGCTATCTTTTTTGCTCTTGTCTGTGTAATTAATATGAATAACTTACGGGATCGTATTCTTTTTTAATTTCTTTCCTGGTCTTGGCTTTCTCCGCAGCTTGTATCCTCTTGATGAGGTCTTCAGATATCTTGGGCTCTATTCTCCGACCGTTATCAGCGGGGATGATATCGAATAACGATTTTCTGTTCTTCTTATTTGCATTCTGTATATTTATACATAGTTATTAGTACAAAAATATATTTCTGATGTCCTAATTATGTGTGAAAGAATAAATTTAAAATTATTTGAATACCTCTATGTTGAATTTAAAGATACGTGAATAACATTTATCCATACAAACTTTTGCATTTATATCGAGTAAAATTATTGTTTTTTCAAGCAAAATTGTTTCCGTGATTACTATTATGTACTAAAATTACCTTCCTTCTATCCATCTGTATGATTGTAAAATAAAAGAGAAAATTGTTATAATATAAACAAAAGAACATTAAGAGAATGTCCCGCCACTGGCTGATAGAGGCTCAGATAGCTTAAAAATGACGTCACTGTCAGATAAGGGAACGAAATCCGGTTTCCATCACATACTTTACTGGATTGTTTAGACAATTTACAAGTTGGTGGGACAGGCCCTTAATGTTTCGATGGTACTTTAGTAAGGTAACTATACGAAATTTTTTGAATACTCGTAAGTAACTAAATATTAAATAACTCACAAAAGCCTTGGAACTCTTCTTGTTAACGGCGTTCTCTTCGTTCCTCTCCTTCTCTTCCACCTCCTCCAGCCGCACCAGGAACGTGTCCAGGTCCTCGCGCCACAGCATGGAAGGAGTTTTGGCCCTACAAGGAGAAATAAAAAATGTCAAAACAAGACTAAAGAAAATAGACTATCGATAACATAATAATATAATGATATTACTACATCTTTACTAATATAACAAAGCGTAAACACACTACTTCGTGGCGTAAGATGTTAGCAATAACAGCATAATTTTGAAAAATTCTAACTTTAATAAAAAGCCCTACATCTACGACACGCTCTAAGCTATATATTTTCACGCTATGACAATTCGGAGTAAATAAATTGGGAAAGAAATTCACGTGAGGATCCATAAACTACAAGCTGGCAACATCGAGGAATCAAGGTTACCATGGTAACGGTAATTATTATACAATGTCATAGGCCTTCGTTGTCATTTGTGCATTTGAATTTTGAGTTGCAATTGAGAATTTGACAAATGTAGACAATAAAATAAAGTTTTTATGTCATGTGGTGAAGCCGCACGGGAACAAATAGTCTGTCTATATTTTATTTCTATACTAATATAATAAATCATAAACAAACATATCTGTTGTGTAGGATGTCAGTGTACATAATGATGTAATTTGCTTACTTGAGTATCTCCAGCTCGGCGAGTTTCTGGTCTCTTTGCTTGAGGAGTTCGTCCTTCTTCTCCTTGGTCAGCATCCACATCGACATCCCCAGCAGGTAGTTGAACTTCTTGACTTCTTTTAGTTGCTGGAATGCTTTTTCTGTAAAATCAAATAACCATATATAAGACGCTTTTTAATTATCAAGACAAACAAGATCTATTTTTAGCAAATGATTTACGTAATTGAATTTAGGAACTATGACAGAAGTATAACTTTGACCATTAAATTACAGGACTGGTCAAGATTGTTCAATACAAGTCCAAAAAAGTACTCAATAGGTTAGTTTGTTTAAAACGATCCAAAGTACTTTTTGATTCAGATTGCATTCTCATACATAATTGCGTAGATTTAAAGATTGTACTCGAGTACAACGCCATATGCCTAGTCATTTTCTATATAGTCAAAGTGACATCAAATTAGTCAAGGTTATTTACCTGGATCCACAGGTTTGCCCTTGTTATCCTCAGGTTCCACCTCCTCCTCAGACTCCTGCGGCTCCTCTTCCACCGCTTCCAAGCCTTGCATCTTGCTGGCGCGCTTCTTCCACTCCGCGATCGGATCCGGTTCATAGCCTTAATGTACAGAATAAAAATATCGTTTATTGGCAATTTTATAGCAATAATTAATAATTTTATAGATTATCTAAGAATATAAAAGAGGTCGTCTAAAGGAGCTTTAATTAGCTTATTTTTTTAGAAAGAATTAGTTCCAGTTAATAAATGTATGGATGTTATTGACATCTCCAAAACTTAACAGATCTTTATGAAATTTATAACAGACTAGTTGTTCCTGTGCGGCTTCATCCGCATGAAATTGTTATTATTTTATTGTTTACATTTGTCAACTTACCAAAATGACATGACAAAACTTGACAGTCTTGCTTCCTTAATGTTGGCAGCAACTTTGGTCTCTTTCCCACATTAGGGTTTTTATCCAAAATATTTAATGGCGTGAAAATATATATCCAAAAGCGTGAGGTAAGTGTAGGGTTTTTTTTATTAAAAGAAGGATTATTCAAAAATATGCTGTAATTGCTGACATCTTAGGCAACAAAGAAGTCTGTGTTTACGCTTTATTATAGATTTATAATAGTACACATAGACTTAGTTTCCTTAAATTCCGCACAGATGACTAAAAAAAAAACCAGTGATTGAAACTTACCTCTTTTAATAAGTTCTTCTACCATGACTTTTCTCTTTTTATTCTCAATAACGAGTCCTTTATCGCATTTTTCTAAGATAAAGCGAGCTTGGTTGGTCAGCTTGTCCGCCTCCGCCTGCAGCTGGCCCTGCAGGAACTCCTTACGTCGCGCGTAGTACTTCACACGCAACTCGTAAAACTCACGCAAAACCTCCTCCACTTTATCGTATCTGGAAATTATTTTAAAACAAAATAAGAGAACTTTAATTAATCTTTCTTTAATGTTATAAATTTTAAAAACAATATTTCAAAGCTCTCTTAGATAAACTATCGTATGTTTGAAACGCAAATATAAACATACGGTAAACAACCAAAATCATTGGATCTTTTTTCTAATATTACTTTCATATTTTACAGATATTAGTAATTAATTATCTATGAATATAAAAAACACAAAACACGTAAATCGCAAAATCGATTAACAATCTAAGCGAAATGACAACTGAAGTTAAGCATTTTTAAAACACAAAATTTTACAAGATCTAGGTATAAAACGATACTTTATCCTAAATTTAAGACATATGGGATACAAGAAAATGATTTTAACATTTTTCTGAATATTTACAATAGTTGCTTATTTAAAAACAAACTCCTGTCTGCAAATAGAAATTAGTTTTCTATTTTTTTTTTTACCAGAATGCTTACTTTTTCAAGCAGTTATTGTGATCGAAGGCGTTCATACAGGTCATGGAGATGGTGGTCTGCAGTTTGAAGACCTTGTGGATGCCCTCTGCCTCCACCTCCGCCAGTTTCCCTGGTAGCAGACTCACCACGAACCGCACAGTCGTGTCCGTATTATATTCCTGGGTTAACAGAATACGGATGTATTATTGTTATTTAGTGGAAAATACAACACTGTATTCCATTTAAATACGGAAAAAACTGAGATATGTTGTAAACATACTCTTTTGTACATATACTTCCCATTCAAAATTATTTTCATTTATTAAAATAATATTGCAAACGATTAGAAGAATAAATAAATGAAAAGTAGTAAAAAGGGTTTATCATGAATATCCGTGAGAACGTTCTGTGCAACTGTGGCCACCGAGTGTAAAAATACATCAACATCTCATACAAATGTTGTCAATTACGTTACGAATATATTCCCGAAACTGTCACGCAAATATTCATAATAGACCCTTTGTAAAGATTAAATTTGTGTCATTCAGATTATTTGATGTAAAAGTTAAATACATTAATTCTTTTGGTATAGTCCAATAAATTCTTATCTATATTTACATTATGACGAGGAAAGATTTGTATTTTTGTATGCATTGAAATAATTCGAAAACTGAACCGATTTCGAAATTCTTGCACCGTTAAAAATCACTAAGTAACAAAGGCTATATTTTTTACTATTTTCTTAATTTCACGAGGGCTGAGGCGCGAGAAACAGCTCATATCTAATATTTTAGACATTTGAGAAGGCATGTCAACTTACTCTGTACTCAGAAATGATCGGTTTAACTTTCTCGTTCCCCAGCATCGGTTCTAGAACGTTCTCCTTGTAGTTCTGCGTCCAGGTGCCGACGGGCAGCTCGGTGATCTCCAGCTTGTCGCCGGGCAGCACGGCCGCCTCGCCGGAGATCACGTACTTGTCGCCGAAGCTCTCGATGGTGCCGCGGAAGTTCTTGTACCAAGGGTGCATCGGCTTCGGCTCCTCGCCGTCCAACATACGCCTGGATACATTTTATTTTAAATCGATGTTTCTAGTATAATTACTGTTCAAATGCAATATCTTACTATACATCTTTACTATGGCGTACATATATGAAAGAACTGGTAATATAGTATGGAGAAATTGACTAATTTTAGCATCCAATCTCTCTGAATTACAACTTTAAATAGTGATAAATATATAAATTAGATATAAAAGTATGGCCATATGATCTAATCAAATTAAATATTAACTTTGAAATGCGAAAGTTTGGATTGATTATTCTTGCTACGTATGTTCAAAACAGTTAAACAGATCACGCTGAAATTTGTCACAGTAAAATATAGGCTTTTTATTAAGTTGTTTTTTCTGCACGGAATTCGAAAGTTGAGGGCAAAAGTGAAAAAAAAGCGCTGAGAGTAAATGCATATTAAATCCATAGATATAATATCAGTTTACCGTATGTTGGCGACGATATCCCTTGGGTTGTAGTTAGGTATCTTGGTGGACCAGCCGGTGCCGATACCCTCGGCTCCGTTCACCAGCACCAGCGGCAGTATGGGCACATAATGTACTGGTTCTATCTTCTGGTTGTCTTCGAACTCGTGCTGGAAATGGGCAAATTAAATATTAAAAACATATAAAAAAAAGCGAAAAGTGTACTTTTGTTACGTTTTTACCTACATGAAAGTTAAAATCATCCAGAAGTTATTGTGATTACATATATTAACATCAAGGAGCTTGGAGCCTGTCCTAAGTAAGTTACTAGGTTATCGTCAACCACATTGTACTATGGGTTGCTTTCACATGTAACTTTGAATTTCTTTGCTATTATGGTTGCATCACAAAGTTTTCCCTCACTAATAGATATTGGTAAAAACGACGAATAAGAGCGCGCGCACATCTTCGACTAATCTATCGCACAACTGTTTAGTCGCGCTTTGATTCCTAGGCGTTACACTACACATTACATATCATACTACTCGTTTTTAAATATGCAACCAAAATGTCAAATTGGCTGCGAAACAATCGACAATCGTACAACAGTTGTCCGATAGTTTACTCAAAGGTGTGCGCCAGCTCTTAACGTAATAGGAACATGGCTAAATTCGAAGACAGAACCTGCAGTTTCCAAGACAAGCATTTATCCAACTAATAGATATATAAGATGATAATTTTAAATATTAACAGTTTGTTATACTCACAATAAGCAAGGGGTCGTCGTGTGGGTGGAAGAGCAGGCGAGTGAGGGGCGACATGAGAGTGAATATGTAACGCGGGCTGGCGGAGTCCTTGCCGCCGCAGAGCCGCGTGCCGAACTGGCCGCGGGGCTCCAGCAGGTTGATGTTGTTGGAGCCCACGTAGTTCTGCGCCAGGTTCACTATCGTCATCGCCAGGGACTGCTCGCCTGAAGAACATCACCTCGGTATACTTCCCACTGAGCTCAGACCCTACCCTGAGTTGTGACTGCGGGTTGACTATGCACATATATTTGAATTTCTTCGCCGATATTTGGAGGTTGCATCACATTTTTTCCCTTGACTGCACGTCCCTACTAAACTAGGACTGTACCATAAGTTAGCTGTGACTAGGTCAGCAAATTTATTAGCCAAAGAGTAAAATATGAGCATTACAGTTTAAAAATAGCTAAATCTCATTGAGATCCAGCCTTTGCAAAGATATCTACTACTACTAACATTTATTCATCCATTTATATTTTCGCATTCATGATATTAGTAAGACTAGAAGGACCAACATTTTATTTATATTAATCAAATATAACACATATAATGTGAAGTTACACTAGAACATAGTTTCTGTGTCATAGATATGTGTAAAAGTTATGACATACCATGATGGTAAGCGGAGTGCTCGGCGACGGAGCCCGCCAGCTGTGCGACCTTGACCTCCCGTTTGTCATTACGCTTTATGCACGTGAAGATCACCTTACGCTGGCCTGGCTTCAGACCATCCACCATTGATGGAATTGATCTGGAAACATTGAGTAAAATATTAACTAACAATATTATAATAAAAATTATTTGATGTGTAAAATAAGAGAAGTTACACTTTTTTAATATCCTATATTCTAAATACAGTTAAAAAAAAGTATTATAAAAAATCGTATGTACTAGAATGTTGATAACTTACCTAACATTATCACCATTAGAAAAGAGAACCAGCTCTAAATTAATAAAATCAGAATAAGTTACGGCTTTAGTTTCTTTAGTGTATAAATATCTTTCAGATAAACCTATTTCCTTCCTCCGTTTAACTTCATCCATATGGTTTGTCAACCATTCTTTCCGTTGATCCGCACCTTTCTTTGAGAAAGCCAGCTCAATGTGGTGGTCGTCAGTGGGTCCGCTATATCTAAACTTTATTCTATGCCTTTCCATATTCTGGAAATATTCTTTAGCCTCCTTCGATGTGGAGGTACCCAAACCTTTGTAGTATTTGATATTAAATGTGTGATGATTATCAGTTTCTCGTTTCCATTCTTCAAATTCTGGTAACGAATAGAAGGAAATTTCTTTATCCTTCTTCGTTGCTTTAACGATAGGAGTAATAAATTCCTCTAAAAACGGCAGTTTTAATAATTCAGGCCAATTGTGATGAATGAAGTTGATGATCAGACCTTTGATATGCGAACCGTCTTGATCCTGATCAGCCATTATCATCACTTTACCATATCTTAATGTTTTTAAATCATCAAGTGAGTTATATTTCTTTTTATACTGTAATCCGAGGATTTTTATAAGGTTATTAATTTCAACATTTTCTAAAACTTGTTTATGTGATGCATCTCGTACGTTCAAAGGTTTACCCTTTAATGGGAAAACGCCGTAATGATCTCTGCCTACAACACTAAGTCCAGACACAGCTAATGTTTTAGCTGAGTCTCCCTCAGTGAGAATTAAGGTACAAAGGTGAGAATTCTTCGTACCAGCGTCATTAGCATCTTCTAACTTCGGAATACCTTTTAATTTACTCTGCTTTTTACCTGATGCCTTTACAAGCTCTGTTTGAGCTTTAAATTTAGCCCATGTCAATACAGATTCAACCAAACCAGATTTACTAACTGCATTTATAAATTTCTCAGAGAAATTACATTTCGAACCAAAGCTTTTCGCCTGGAGTGTCATATTCTCCTTTGTTTGTGAATCAAAGGTTGGGTTAACAATTAAACAATTCACAAATACCCACATGTGATTTTTGACTTGGAAAGGCTTTATGTTCACACCTCCCTTATTCTTCTTTTTCAAAACTTCTAGAACATTCTTGACAACGCTATCGGCTACCGTGTCAATATGTTTACCGCCTTTCGTAGTAGCAATAGAGTTAACAAATGAAACTTGTTGGAAGCCCCTGTCGGAAAGTGTTAATGCAACTTCCCAACGATCATTTACTTTTTCATACACAACTTTCAATGGTTGTCCATTTTCGTCCTCTTTACCTTTAATATATAAATCTACGTAATCCTTAAATTTACTTATTTTAAGTCTTTCTCCATTTAAATAAACTTTTACACCCTGGGATGAAGCAGCCACGTCATACGCACGTCGCGACATCAACGCGACTATATCGTCCTCCAATTTTTCCATTTTAAACTTAGCTAAATCAGGGCTAAATGTTATTTTAGTAAAATCATCATCTTTGCCAGCCTCCTTAACCTTAGGTTCGGAAGCTTTTGTCATATTACTACCCCAAGTTTGCTTAAAATGTTTCTTATATTGTCTAGATGCTGTTTCTACCGTAAACTTTGTCGAGAATATGTTGCAAAGCTTTGCACCATAGCCATTCCTACCGCCTGTCACTTTCTCTTCCTCGTCATTGTAATTAGATGATGTCAAAAGATGACCGAAAATCATAGTCGGAACAAACATTTTCTCGTCTTTATGCATAACTACTGGGATACCACAACCATTATTGTAAACTGATATTGTATTTTGCTCTTGGTTAATGTCAATTCTAATAACATCCATTTTTGGATCCCTCTGCTTATTATCAGCAGCGTTCACCAAAATTTCATCATAAATTTTGTACAGACCTGGAAAATACAACATAACAAGTTACCATAAAATTGTAACTTTGGAGTACATTGAATAAGTTAATTTTTCTTAAGAAGCTAATTGAGGCAGGTGCTAAATTCATTTTGATACATAAAAACAAACATTTAAGTACAAATTCTTTCAATAAAATGATTATTTACACAGCTGGCTTGGAAATAACCAGTATGTCATATTAATGCAGTATTTTTTTAGTTTTCTAAAGTTAAAAAAGTTTTCTATAGCGGCATAATAGAGACAAACCTGGTACAAATGTCAATTCCTTCTGCACCATACATTCCTTTTCTTTGTCAAATACCCACATAGTCTCAGTGGCTCGTTCCACTGACCCAATGTATGTGTCAGGTCTTAGTAAAATATGTTCCAACTGGGATTTTTTTTGATAAATCTTCTCAATAGTGCCTTTCTGACCCTTGGCTGGAGGCACAGCCTCTGATGTGCCATTTTGGGTTGTACTTTGCATTTTGTTTATCATAGTCTAAAAACACAAATAACTTTTAAATATGATAGGAATTATAAAACATATTTGACTTTCTCTGGAGAAGTAAAATAACTAAGTTACACTGATACATTATTTGAATATTAGGCCAACAAGCAGTTGATAAGAATAAAGGGTACCGATTACCATTTTATAGTAAGAAATCTATCTTGGAAAATTTTATAAAAGTTTCAAATAAGTTTAAATCAAATTGACAGCTAATTATTCAGTTACAGCGCAACAATATCAAATTAACCTATTTGAATCTTAAGAATCGAATTAGCATCTAAATCTATAAGATTTAATTAAAACTTCTATGCAAATAATATGTATGAAACAAAAATAAATAGAATAACATAAAAAATAAACAATCAAAATGACCGTTGGCGATCAAAATGCCGCCAATATCTCACCCTTATATCAGCCATCTTGTGTGTTGTACATTTAATGCTTATACGATTAACGCTCCGCAAACTTTTTCCCAAAGTTATGATATTGCTAAAAACAATAATCCTGGCTTTTGCAAAACAACATTTTCGTTTTGTAAGCGTAAATTATCAACCGCGACGATTTAACGAATCTGGTTGACAAAGACGCCGTGAATGAGTATAGAGTTCATCTTTTTTTTTCTCACAGAGTAAAGAAATTGAATTTATTTCTATTTCTTTAAAAAGAACGTCACTAAAACGTTTGTATCATAACTAATATGGCCTACACAAAATATGAAGATTCTTTTTCAGGCACGTAGACATATTAAATTACGTAAGGATTGTTCCTTGGAGCACATTTTTAAATTAAGGACATTCTTATTAACAACATTTTGAAAACCATAGTCAAAGAAAAGTATTTCGAATGGCGTTTCGTTAATTACTCTTTGTTATTTTTATTACGTCAATGTAAAATCAGTCAATGTCAGTGTCACTGTCACTCCGACATCGCACAGTTTAAGGTTATGAATATCGAAAATATTTTTTTATATTAAGTACTATAAAATAAGAATGTCGTTAATATCATTCGCTAGTACAATTTTGAAACGAAGCATTACTTTCCGCTCATTTCCTAGATCTAGCAATTTAAGTCATACAACGCGGAATTCGTCTTATAGTTCAGTAACGACGAAAACAATTCATGATGTAAATACCAATGTTGCAAGGGACGTTATATTATTTAAATATGAGAATCCGAAGTTTTTTAAATATATGAATGTGTTTGCTATCGTCCAGTATATGTTTTGGACGTACCTTGGTGTGTTTGCGTTTAAATCTTTAAGGGATGCACCGGTGGACAAGTCTACGATCACAGATGAAACTCCCTGGTTTAGAAGAATAAACCTTGGTGAAAATAAGTACAGAAATACTTTAGGAGCCGTCGCCTTAATTATTGGTAAAAATTTTCATACTTTGTAATATACAGTAGAACCTCGATAAGTTAAAGTCCAAGGGAGACACAAAATACTTTAAGTTATAGAGGTTTTAAGTTATCAAGGATCTATGTCGTAGAGGTTTTGGGCTCTGATGAGAAGGGAACATATTATTTTTTTGAAGTTACCGAGGTTTGAGTTATCAAGGTTCTACTATATTAGGTATAGTAAAAATGTTTGCAATAGAGAGACTAGTGATAATGATTTCATGCAAAAATGAACCACCACTTGTTATATTTATTTCATATTATTATTTATATTTTCAGGTACTGGATCTTTAGCAATGGTGTGGATGTATACTTTGAAATCTGTCAGATATTTAATACTAAACAAGGGTGGGCAGCATTTAACATTTGTGACATATGGTCCATTTGGTAAGAATCGTATGATGAAAGTTCCTGTTGAGAATGTCTGCTGCAAAGAGAACAGGACAATGGCAAAAGTTCAACTTCCGATTAAAGTGAAGAGCACAATGATGCATTACATGTTGGATATGAGGGGAGAGTTTAAAAACCCTCTTTTGTTTGATAGCACTGCAGGATTGTCTAGAAAGTGGTGATGAAATAAATATAAGTATACTTCTATTAGAAATACTATTAAATATTAAAACTTGTAAAATGTGAAATATAGCGTTGTAAATAAATAACTTACGTTTTTGTTTGTGTTTTTTTTTTAAACCATAAACAAGCATTAATTTTTTTCTGGTGGGTAAATAAAAAGACAGTTTTGAGATTTATCCGAAAAAAAAAAACTTTATTTTATCTTTTATAATTATAGCAACGGAAAATTATTTACTTTAAATACAAAATAAACAAGAAATGTAATCGATAACAAAAAATAAATTTCATTTTCTTATATACAAGATCAACTTTGTTAGACACAAGCTCAAAAACAATCCAGATTTTTTTTATAAAATGCTTTATTCATTGAATGTCATCGCAATGTATTGTGGTCATTTTTGAATTACGAACATTGAGATTCTATGTCAAATTATTAAGTAAACATAGTTTTATATTGAAAAATATAGAGTTTATGTCTAACAAGAAAAACAAAAAGATCCAAAATCAATCACATTAACATATTGTGGATATTTAGCATTACAGCAAATTTCCACAGACGAAAAATTCATACAAAAACCATCTCAATTATTCACTGAAAAATTTGAAACAGCAATATTTTTGTATGAATATTCCGTAACCATCGTTAGAAGACAATTTAATGACATTAACTTACATACTATGTCTACAAACAATTTTTTTAAGTCTACAAATGCTTTAACTAGCTTGCTAAAACAAGCTAAGAAGGATCAACAGTGCATGAACAGAAGCAAATCACAAGATGGTTTAATAAATTTTCAAGTTTTGCTTAAATCTAAAATTATCTATATCAAATGAAATGCGATGTTCTCAATTAGATTGGTATTTTTAATAAACTTAATGTTTTAAGTCAAATCTTCGAGATAAATAATTCATGTTTGAAGAAATAACAGCAGTTACTTAAAGAAATTCATATTTAAGTCAATTGTATTAATTTACGGTAAGTAAATGGTCATTTACCAATATAAATGATGTAGTTCAATGTCATTGTCAATTATTAATAATTAATCGAATCAAATCGAATCGTTTTATTTATTCGTAAAAAATCGATTCGCAAAAATTTACCTAAAATAAATGATAGTATTTTTGTTGCCAGAAATAAAAAATTAAATAGCATTTGAATGGACTAAATTGAGATCATTTAGGTTTTAATTGTGTTAGCAACAAAATTTAAATGTTGCCAGAATAAAAAAGATTACGCAAAATAAGTGCACCATTAATCCCTATTATAATTAAGTACAATATTAACCCTTATTTACAATAAATCATAAATATTAATACACTAATAATAAATTACATGCTTAATGCGCTTTTTTAGTACAATGAAACTTACATTCCAGCCATCACAGGTGAAACAATATATCTGTCTCCCTCCCACTGCATTGCAGTTACTAAACTCGTATATATTTTCTTTATTATATAATTAAAACAGTGATAGTAAAGTAAATAATACTAATTTCACATTTATATTTTTTTTTAAATAATTTTGTATGGAAATAATTCATATTAAAAATTTTTAAAATGTATTAACTCTTCAATCACTGTCTGAATTAAAAGTCCTTCATAGATATATAATCTACAACCTAATCCAGATCATTAAAGTCAGGCGAAAAGTTTTTTTTTTTTAGAAAATACTTTCAATGTTGCCATTTGCAATACAGACATCTAATTTGAAATTTGATTAAATTAAACGCCAAACTTCTATCTCCGTCTATAGATTATACATCTATGCCAAACTAAAAATATATTAAATCTGTATTCTGGGGTTTGTTTTACAAAAATATACGATATCAGAATCAATCCTCTTTATGACTAACATGAAGTACTGACTTAAGTTATTCAGAAGCTTTTTTAACGCGTTTATTCAATAACCGAATAGTAAACTAAAAGTACATTTCATCATAAAATAACTTTAAAGTAAAAAGCTTTCTTGGCACTTGCCGCTTTAACATTCTTCAGTCTCAAGTCTTGCGTGTCAGACACAACACATACTGTCATCTCTTTCATTCATTTAAAACCTAATTTAAAAAAAAAAAAACTGATTGACGAAACTTTCTTATACAACGACATTAAAAAAAAATTTAGAATCTCGAAAACATCGAGAAATTAGCAATTAGAAAAAATTAAAAAAAATTAGAAAAAATGTTATAGTGGTAGATTTGATATTTTTATTATTTTTTTCAGAATTCTCACGTCCAATGTACAAAATACGAGATAACAGTATGTCTTTATGCATTTATGCAGTGAAATTAAAGGTAACGAAAAACATCAGTCAACCATCTTAATATACAGATTTTCAAATACTTTTAATCTATGACATATTTTTACTCTGTGATGTTTATTTGATAAGCGTTGTTTTTTACGTTTCGTTTTTTTCTACAGTTTTTATACAAAACTGGAAGTCCTAATTATTTTAAAGTCATTTTGAAGTCTGTAGTAGTCTAAATATTGAGAGATTTTTTAATTTCAGTATTTTTTATTGATAATTCATCTTTCCTTTAATTTGAATTTAACAATTCTGATTTCATAATTGGAGTAATTTATTTTTTATAAATTTTGAACAAAATTGAACTGCATTACCTACATTTAAACGAGAAAATTTCAATATTTCTATCTAAAACATTAGCGCATATTTTTCACATATTCTAAAACAGTTCAAATTCAAAGTCAACCCTATGGCAATTGGAGAAAACAATTGTAAACCTTAACCACAATTAGAATTAGACCTTAATGCTTACAACACTGTGTCCATATTTCTTTGACAAGTCCACATTACAGGCAAACACATTTCCAGTATCGCAACAATCAAATATTTAGTAAGTGTGCCTACGTCAGTCGGAGATGTAGCGTGTAGCGCGCGTTATCTCCTCGTCGTCGTCATCACGCGCCGGACTGATGCTCTCGATCTCCTCTACTTCTTCCAGATTCTTCGTATTTGGATTACATAGTCTGAAATGAGAATATAATCAGAAAGAAGACAATCAGTACTGAGCTGGAGGATTGGTACAACCCTAGAACATTGACATATATGTCCCGTCCCTATGACAGCTGTCAATGTCATTCAGTACTAGAATAGCGCGCCAATCTGGCGGTAGTGTTAAAACTAATTATGTTGTTACAGTTATAGTAATTCCGTAAAATTACAAATTTTGCGATAAACCTTAGGTACTAATTATTAATATAAATGCGAAAGTTTAGATGGATGAATGTTTGTTAGAGTTTACCACATAAACAAAACGGTTCTATAACGGGCTATAGCTAGTATTACATAAGTGGTAGACGCTTATATTGCTGGCAACTGTTGCACTTTAGGGCCGGAACAGCACCACCACGTCATGTGGTAGCAATTCCACGTGCACTTTAACTAGTGTACCGGAGGCCTAATATTTCCTGTATCATGTCAGTGTGGTGTTACATTTAGTGCTCACCTGCACTTGCAGCAGACGATGCAGGGCGCGGCCAGCAGCAGCAGTGGGCTGGCCACCAGCAGCAGCAGCCCGAAGCCAGCGAAGATACCCACCACCTGAAATCACAATGCGTTTCAAATAATACTGTGCGCTTCGATAACCTAACTTATGAGCACGCCAGGAAGGAGAATATATAAATTAATTCAAAATGCTAAGTTTCCTACAATACCCTGGAGATAACTCAAAAAATGACTTTCATTAAAGCATTTTCTTTGGAATAAAAAAAGTATTACTTCTTGCACAATCTTCAAAAGTTACAGGTCGAAGGAGTCAAGTATTTCGTAAAGAACGTATCATTTCTTGTAACTTGTCATCGCAAGGGACCACTTATAATTTTTTCAACACATCTGATATCGTTGTTCGAAAATAAGGCTTGTTACAATCAACTATGTAAGCACATATGTATGTTACCTGAGCGCGGTGCCACAGAACGGAGGCCCTTGAATGTCCCAGCTTGTTCTTGCAGGGTCCCTTGTCGTAATGGCGCAGGAGGAAGTCGTCCTGTAATAACAGAATTTATCCTATTATCGGAGACTCTGTGGATTAAAACTGTAACCGTAACTGTAAACCATTTAGGAGATTACATGAAGTAAAAATAATCTCAGGAAATTCAGTTTACTCATTACTAGCTGCTGCTGGTGACTTCGCCCGCATGAGATTAAAAAAAAACATAGTCTATGTTAATCACAGATAAATAACCTTTCTAATGGTGAAAGAATTTTTGAAATCAGCCAGGTAATTTTTACATGAATCGAATACATACAAAAATCCAAAAATACAAATCTATCCTCGTTATAATATTAGTATATATTTACGTTTAAACAAATATTTATTGTAACAATTTAAGTATTGTATTCATCATTAAATATATATAAAGTTTATATTAATCGCTTACGTAATTGAATATGAAGGCACTTGAAAACATAAACGAGAAAATTTACAGCAAACGCAAAGCGAAAAACAGCATTCAGCGTCGTTAAATCAAAGGCGCATTTGCACTCAAATGCGTGTCAAGGGAACCCGGGACTTTTTCATCGTCTAATTATAAACGCTAACATTGAATAGGGTTACGTTATTTCATATTTTAATTGGATATTACTTTATTATATTCATTAACATTTTTTTTTACATTACACGACGTTCAATTCGTATTATTCCCAAGCTCGTAAGCTTAAAAAATAAACTAATACACCATAGATGTCGATTGGCCTCCCCCTCTGTATGACTCAAGCTACTATCAATAAGACGTATAATAGTAATAATAACTAGACCTAGCCTAGATCATTAGCGAATTTAAGAAGTTGGTCACAACCGATTCTGTCCAGGTTTCCATAACATTTATCAAAACTATGGTCACCGTATCGAATCCGTCCCCGCGCTGGATTTAAAGAAAACAAGCAAATGTTTTCTTTACGTTGCCGTACCGCGACCGGAGCGACCTCTTCAGTCTCTCTTACGGATTACACGAGCGTGCCTAATGCTATATGACATGGATAAAGTTCAAAAGTTTGTAGGAATCTATTAATAAGAATATTATAGTAAAAATATGTAATATGTACGAAATTAGTCATTTACCTAGAGCTGGATTTCTCATACCTGTACATAATTTAACTACATTGTTGTCCAACTTATCAATTTCACACTGAAATAAAAGCAATATTTCGTATAATGGTTTCGAAGGTCCCCAGCCTAAGCCTTTTTGACCTTATTCTATTTTAGACATTGCTTTATATGAAAATATCGGCTTTTATCTGGCAATGTGCCCGGCTATCGTAAGTGAGCACTACATGGTCACAATATATTTTATATAAAAATCGAATTTTTGTCTATAATTTAATATGTGGCTGTATAAAAAGGTGACGTCAATCCTCTTAAACAAATACATTTAGCAAGTATTCTTATAGTTATGACTAGCTGTTCCCATGCGACTTCATCGGCATAATATTATAAAAATTTCATTTTATTGTTCACATTTGTCAAATTATCAATTGCAAATGTCAAAATGACATGATATAATGTCAAACCATGGCAACCTTGCTTCCTTGATGTTGGCAACAACT